CCATTCAATGAAATTCCACCCCAAGCCATTACCTTTTGTCATGATTTTGGTAATCTTCTAACTGGTCTTTCTCCATTATTATACCATCTTGAAATTTTATTGCAAAATAAATCGAAGGCAGTCTCGTCTGTAAAAATGGTATAATCCCAGTCATCATTCAAATGAGTTTGTGCCCATGTTTTTCGAGCATCAATATGACTAATGGTAAGCATTGGGGTGGAAAGTGGTATGGCACTATTATACCCTTTTTTGCCATGTGTCACCAGATATTAGTATGTGAAATAGATATATTATGTGTATCTTGAATTCGAACTGCAAGTTGGCGTGTTTTAATGCAGAGTTATGGTGAACTAATTGCCCGATTGGCCGCGAAACTGTTTGTGTAACCTTATAACGGCGACCATTACGCCAATATGTTTAATAGTACCTTTTTCTTTGAGTTTTTTGATATTGTACTGAATGGTACGAAGGGAGATCTTTGTTTTTTCATGTATTTCTTTGGCAGTACAAATTCCATTTAGCCAGTAATGTAGAATTGTTTGACGTTGCGCCTCAAGTTCTTTATTGACCATGTTTGCAACCCTGTGAGCACTTTGTAGACGTACCATGATATTGCGTTCAAGAAATTGAAGGCAAATTTTTGAAATGTGATTATCTCGAAAAATAGGCGAAGTTCAATGCTGTACTAGAACTTATACAAAACAATCTGCTTGATACACTCATGAGTGAGTAGTGTATGATGAAAAGTATGATCGGCTTGAAAAGCTTTTTGAAAAAAAAAAAATCGATATTTAACAAAATTTAAACAAACCGTATACAGTCAAACCTCGTTTTCAACGAATCTGTGGGGACACATAAGAAAATTACATCTAAAATTTATTACTATTATACCAAAATTACATATCGCGTTTCAGCGAATGGTTTTACATGCGAAGCAAAGATTTTGAAAAATTCGTTTGAAACATTTAATTATAACTCGTTGAAACGAGATTTGACCGTATAATATATATATATATCTATATGAGTTCTCAAAGTTATTTTCTTAAACCATTTCTAAACTAATTTCCAATTGGTTTTTATTACTATTACTATTACTATTAGTAATTTTACGAATAATAAATTTGAGACATTACCTATATTTAACAATATTTAACAATAAAGAATATCATTAAAACTTGTGGTTTATACTAAAAATTCACATACTGTTGAATTTTTGGCGAATGAAATCGAGCACATATTATCTATGAATAACATAGAAAAATTTACTGATCTTGTTACTGATGGTGCTGGAAACGTCAAAGTAGCAAGACAAATGATTAATCAAAAACATCCAAATATATTAAATTTAAAGATGCATTCCATAAATCTAATGACCAAATATATTATAAACTAAATGGGATATGATGTTCTTCATAACTGTTCAAAAATTATTTCATTTTTTAAGTATTGAATGAAGCAATAAAAAAATTTGAGATGTGGGAATTAAAGCATACATAAAAACACATTGGTCCTCGGCTTGGGATTGTTTATATTCTGTTAAACGATTGGAGGGTTGCTTTGTCTGGATAAAACTTTGACATTATACTACATTAAAATCACTCTTTTTTTCATGGATTATTTAGACGACCCTTCTATCATTACTAATAGAGAATAGTACGAATTAGAAATTTTTTGCTGATGTAAAAATTTTATAAGATATTCTGAAACTCGTCGTAGAGTGTCGTATTGATGCCACATTCAAAATAGAGGTTGGCACCGCGCAAAAATTCTTTAACCGGTTAATTTAGTCACGTGGAATTTTTTAACTGGTAAATTCGATCATTCATTACTTACAAAATAATCACGCATCTGTCGAATTTTATTATTATACACTTAATAGATGCTAAATGATTACAGTAAAACCTCGCCACAGCGGATTCATGGTTCCAGCCAAAAAAATCCGTTATTAACACTCATAAAAATTTGCTCAAAACCCGTAACACTGCTTTTTTCCTTACTTGGGATAGATTGTATGATTTTGGTTTTGATCTACCATTTTTTTTTGTTTGCCTATTGATGCAATTTTTAATAAAATAGATAATTTCATGCTGCCCCTAAAAAAAATGTAAAAAAGGGTGCATTGATTTTGCTTTTTTACGTTGCATTCGAATTTGAGGGTTGAAGTACATAGTGCTGAAATGGTCTTCTATACATGATTCAGCTTTACACGTTACATTTGAAATGCGAGGTGTCTATATATATATTCGTTCGGAGTATCAACATTAGCCAGTCATATTTTTTTTTCGTTGCGTTGAGCAAAAAATTTATTTATTAAAAAATTACATCATATACAAAGGGAAATTGTTTACGGGCTTAATAAATTTAACAAAAGATCCTTCGCAAAGAAGAACCCTCATCCGAATTAAAAGTTATTTACGAATTTCGATTGTTAAAAAAATCAACCAAGATTTTTTTTTCCTAATTAAAAAAAGAGATATTTTTATCCTGATCTTTTCCTTGTGGATCAATTAAATTAAGTCTATCGCTGTAGAAGGAATTTGCATGATACGGCGATATAAAAATAACCACAATCACGTATCGTTTTTGGTAAACGAAAATATTTTTGTTCAAATTTCAATTTGCAAGTCAGTGCATTCAAATTGTTAAAATATAAATATTACTATTACTCTCAAAAATTCATTTAGAAAGGAACCGTACGTAACACAGCAACTTTTCTTTTATGCATGTAACCACCCACATTCATTAAAAACAAAAGTCGAATTTTATATTTTATATTTTTATATATATTATTATTATTATTATTAGTATTAGGGTGTATTCGAAATGTTTGAACGAAATTATTATCGAAACAAACCTATTTCGTCATCATGTGTGCTTTTTAGTCGACATGAAAATTAAGTTCATTCGTTATATATAATAGACAAGATTTTGTTCCCAGCTTGCCTGCCTTAACTGAGAAATTATGAAATAAATAAAATTAATAATATTTTCGTTTTGTAGAAGTTATCGTGGAATTAAGGATAAATCTTTACCTAAAAAACAACAAGAGGAATGGTAAATCATAATCATAATCACAATAATATTAATAATAATAATAATAAATTTAGATTTTATTTTGCTTAAATAGTGGAAATAGAAGATCATTTTGTAAAGAATGTGTGCATTTTTATGGGCCTATGATCCAAAATATTCTGAATGGGTTAGTTATTTATTTATTTATTTTGTAGTTAAATACTCACTTTCAATCATTCTTCACAAATATCATCAGAACCACCATCTAGAGTTGTCTCATGATATAGTTTCTCTTCAATAAATCCTATATAATGAAGACTTTTTATGACATATAACAAAGTTATTAACTTATTAATTACCAATCTCAATCAATCAGTCAATAAAATTATTAGCAAATTACCCCCCAAAACCTCCAATAAAATAAATATCTTGAACTTTAAATCGATAGAAATGAAATGAATGAACTTTGCCAGGAAGCCTAATAATTGCCATAATCATTTAAGAAGTTAACGAATTGATAATGTTCTTGATTATCATCACCATCATTAGCATGAAAAGAAAAGACATCCTTACCAATAACGAGCTTTTGGATGTTTCTCTAGATAACAATTTTTAACATCATTCTCCTAATTAATTTAAATATTAGAATTCCTTTTCTCCCAATAATAATAATAAATATAATTAATTAATTAATTAATTAATTAATCAATACTTGTTATATTTACCTCACTCTCGTTAACCCTTGTTATTTTACCAAATAAATTTAATCTTGGTTCAGCGAAAGGAAAAAATGATTTCTTGGAACTTAATTTACGAATCGACAGAGAAGCTCTCAGTCCATCATCAAAAGCATTGCGAACATTTAGCTTTTTTCCATACATACAGTAAATTCATGGTTTAGTATATTTGTAATTTTTCAATCATCCCTTCCCTTATTTTCATCCCTCCTTTCTTTTACCTGTACATGACTCAAAAGTAATAATGGATCTCCAGTGGATGGACAATCATCTGATAAATATTCAAGAAGTCCAATTGGATATCCTTAAAATTTTATTATTATTATTTATTCATATTTATATTTATTATTATTTTGTAAAACAAAAAGAATTTTTTCCTCTATTGTACTTTTTTTA